GTCTTCGCCGTGCGCGCGGCGGATTGGCAGGCCACGGTGGGCGCAGAGGAGGCGCGCCCGACGCCCGCCCGGGCGCCCCCCTTGGGGCGCCCCGTCGTTGCCGCCGCCGTCGTCGCTGGAGTCGGGAGGAGGAGGAGGAGGAGGACCAGCGTCAGGCCTGGTCGTGCAACCGAGGGACGGGAGCACGGGCCTATCATACAAATTTAGTCGGGTCTTAAAGACTTGCCCGATTTGGGATGGCGACCAGCCTTATTAGCAGATATAGTATATGTCTGCTTATATCTGGTCTGCCCGTGCTCCGACGGCCCCAAACAGCTATCCTGTAACCTGCAATTCGCAACTTTGCCACTGGACACCTGATAGGAGCCGCACAGGGTGCACACCCTGGCCCACGGGAGCACCAAGACGCGATGGCCCTGGAGCTCAACGATTTCCTCGGCAGGCGCAGGGTCCCCAGGGGCCTCTTGAGGCCATTGGTCCTGTGGCAAATCTACACCTTCAATAGCCGCGGCCCCCAACAGGGCAGCCTTTACAGCGTGAGACCTCATCAGGGGGGCTGACTGTAGCTCCTGATCCGCTCTCGCCTTCAGCCTCTCTTGGGCCGACGGGGTACACAGTGTTCCCAAGAGCTTCCCAAGACTGGCCTGCGTACAGGCAACCGCTAAACAGAGCCTACATAGGAAAACCTGGGGGCCCCTACCTACCATATAATGTTGCGTGAGCGCTACCGACGGAACCTTCCTCGTAGATATCCTCAGGTGATGTCCAGGTCGCCCACTCATTGAATCACGTGCAGCCATCTTGGCCGCTGCCCAAGAGAAATACTTCGCCTGCATACGTGCGTCATGGAGCCGAGCCTCGAACAGCTGAGGAGGAGGAGGAGGAGGAGGAGGACGAGAGAGGAGGAGGAGGAGGAGGAGGAGGAGGAGGAGGAGGAGGAGGAGGAGGAGGAGGAGGAGGAGGAGGAGGAGGAGGAGGAGGAGGAGGAGAGGATGAGGAGGAGGAGGAGGAGGAGGAGGAGGAGGAGGAGGAGGAGATGAGGAGGAGGAGGAGAGGAGGAGGAGGAGGAGGGGAGGAGGAGGAGGAGGAGGAGGAGAGGAGGAGGAGGAGGAGGAGGAGGAGGAGAGAGAGGAGGAGGAGGAGGAGGAGGAGGGAGGAGGAGAGGAGGAGGAGGAGGAGGAGGAGGAGGAGGAGGAGGAGGAGGAGGAGGAGGAGGAGGAGGGAGGAGGAGAGGAGGGGGAGGGGGAGGGGGAGGGGGGAGGGGGGAGGAGGAGGAGGAGGAGGAGGAGGAGGAGGAGGAGGAGGAGGAGGAGGAGGAGGAGGAGGAGGGAGGAGAGGAGGAGGGAGGAGGAGGAGGAGGAGGAGGAGGAGGAGGAGGAGGAGGAGGAGGAGGAGGAGGGGGGAGAGGGGGGGGGGGAGGGGGGGGGGGGAGGGGGAGGGGGAGGAAGAAGAGGAGAATGAGGCGTCGTCGTCGTGGGCGTTGGCGCCTGCGTCGGCGGCCTTCGGCAAGGGACCGCGCTCGCGGCTCCGTGGGCCGGCGACGGCGCTGGCGACACGGGGACAGCTTCATCGTCGTATGTTCGCCGTGGTCGTCGGTGTCGCCGTCGGCGTCGGCGGCGTCGGCGCCGTCGCGAGCGGGGAGGGGGGGTGGCCAGAGGAGGAAAAGGTACCCATTCCGCTACCCTCCGCCCGTTTTGCCCTTTCTTGAGCCTCCTCGGAGGCCCTCGTCGCCGCCGCTTGATTCGCCTCGAAATCCTGGTCAGAACGCACCTCGGGAGAGGTCCAGGGAGTGGCAGTATCGATACCCTTTGATTTCCACAGGTGGCGGTAGGGAGGAATGGCGGAAAAGGGATGAGAAGAAGGAGGAGGGCCATAGTAAACCCAAGGTGCATCAGCGATGTTGCAATACACCCGCCAGTCCCGAGTCCCCTCTTCATACGTCCCTGTTGGCTTTCCTTCCGACGACGAGAAGCACCCCTTTTGAAAGACTACATTACATGGGCCTGACAATTTAGCGAGGGCCTCATTTTTTGCATCCGTCCAGCTCTGAATCAGAAGTGTGATGAATTATGATCATACAGTTCGACGAGGTGTCCAGGGACACCACCCTTTCGAAAACCGACCGCCTGCCCGTCCGCGTAATAGTTCGCAAGTTTACATGTGTGGCCATGAGCTGCGAGTCTCAGGCGGGAGCTTCATTTAGAGAAGGAGCCGCCCTCGACCCATGTAGCACTACAAGTTTTGAAGCTTCGAAGCATTGTTCAACCAAGGAAGCATCAAGCGATAGACTCATTGTGAAAAGGAGCCGTCCTCCATCCTGTTGCATGTTGTAAGCTTTGCCCCAACCCTCCTATGGTTGGGTACTCGTTTTGAATAGAGCAGCGTGGTCGCCCCGGCCTCCTTCTTCTCCTCCCCCGCCCAGCGGAGGTACGTCCCACGCGGATCACCTCGGGACCTCGCGGTGCCCTGGGGGCTGCGATCTGCGCAATTGTCGCCACTTTCGTGGGCTCCTGGGAGGCCCAGCGGAGGTGGGTCCCACGCGGATCACCTCGGGACCTCGCGGTGCCTTGGGGGCTGCGATCTGCGCAACCGTCGCCACTTTCGTGGGCTCCTGGGAGGCCCAGCGGAGGTACGTCCCACGCGGATCACCTCGGGACCTCGCGGTGCCTTGGGGGCTGCGATCTGCGCAATTGTCGCCACTTTCGTGGGCTCCTGGGAGGCCCAGCGGAGGTGGGTCCCACGCGGATCACCTCGGGACCTCGCGGTGCCCTGGGGGCTGCGATCTGCGCAACTGTCGCCACTTTCGTGGGCTCCTGGGAGGCCCAGCGGCTCCTGGGAGGCCCAGCGGAGGTACGTCATACGCGTTTCTCTCAACGCCCCTGTGTTTCCATGTTGTATATTTGCCGTTCCTATTCTTGCTGCGCTGTTCTGAAATCACTGCTGGGTGCTCTTCTTGCGCACTGCGGGTCCTCCAGAATGCCAGTCAGCATTGAGTGGTCCTGATTATCATCGCCACATGTATAGGAAGGGTTGGGTACGTCACAGGGTAATTAAAGGAATGCGCGCTGCGCTATGACTAGGGACCCACTTCGACCCCTCATCCACAAAACGGATGCGAATTTTGAAAACGAGTGCGTGTGGTGATAATGTTACAGGCCATTTTGAAAATGAACCGCCTTCCATCCGTGAAACTGGTGCACACATTTAAAACGACTGTGCGCTGCGTTCCAGCGAAAGGTCAATTCCAAAAACCCTCCTCCACCCTTGAAACTGCTGCAAAGTTTTAGGACGAACGTGCGCAGAGCGAAGGCGAGAGCCACATTGTGAAAGGACATGCCCTATCACCTTGAATATGCTGTAAACTTTGAGGCGTATGTGCGCGGCTCTATTCAAAACGACCTTCCTTCCATCATTGAAGTTCTTGAGATTTTGTAAACCAAGTGCTCCCGCTGCAAGGGCGAAATTCACATGTTGAAAAGGACCAACTGCGTCGTGGACTAGACGCCTCTTTGGGAGGCGTCTTGGGATGCGGGGTCCTGGGGTGCGGGGTCCTGGCCGGCGGGGTGCAGGGTCCTGGGGGCGTCGATTTGGTGTCCCGTCACGACGGTGTCCCGATGGTGTCCTTTGTGCATGGGGGGCCCTGGCCCCCCCACCCAGATAGAGCGTTGTTGACCCCCAGGCTGACG